TGTGATGATAATGAAGATGATGGTTATGATGAGGATGAAGATGATAGGATGAAGATGATGGTGGTGATGTTAATGAAGATGATGGTTATAATAAGGATGAAGATGGTGATGATGATGATGGTGGAGACGCAGCGCTGACGTGTCAGCAATCAGTGTGAGCTGCTGCAATGCATGCTGGGAGCCTGTGAAACAATGCATCTCATTACCCTGCAGCGTGTGATGGGCTCTGCAGACAGGCTGAAGGTGACCGCGTGGCGTCCACAGATAAACAGGACAACAATGACAACAATGGGACGGGGGACATGTCCTGATTAGTTCAGACAATAAAATGTCCAAAATAGACCGTCAGCAGAGCTGGAAGCTGCGCCGATCAATGCGCCGCACCAGCTGCCAATCAAATGAGTGAACGAGGAGAGGAAGGCTGAATTAAAACGGACTCACAACAAACACACACCGACCCGACCCAGCAGCTCCTAGAACCTCCTTCAACAGCAATAACTCTCAGTGGGCTTCTGTCCGTCCTGCATAGTTGTGATGGATCTTTGACCTTCTGAAGCCTCAAGAGTCTGAGATGAAGCGCAGTCCTCTGAGAACTGCACGGTCTGACCTTCAGGGTGAGTCTGCTGTGAAGACTGTCTTAAACGTTTTCCACTCGTGAATAATCTTTCTCTCTGTAGAGGGACAGAGTCCAGAGAGACTGGGCACGACCTTTGACCCTTCTCACATTGACAGACACAACAGCTGAGGTCATTGCTGATGTCTTTCCATCTTGACATTGCGTTACACAACAGAGCAGCAACTGCTTTCCTGAAAAACTGTAAGCTCAGTCATCCAGGTGGATAACAACAAAACAAGGTTAAATCTTGTCATCTGGGTGTTTCTTTTCTCTTTCCTGCTTTAGATTTTAAGGTTGGCGTCAGCAGATCCTCACTGAGGCCCGGTTCTGGTCCAGTCTTTACCTCTGGACAGGAAAAAGATCATTTAGAAACAGATCCGGTCGAACCTAAAACTTTGTTCCTGCAGCAGCAGCTCCAAGTTTTCACAGATGTTCCACATCAACACTGCGCATCTGGACCGGGGGCCTTGGGGTGGCCTTGCCTGGGGCCCTGGCTCCCGCGGGGTCCGGGGGCCTCCGGGGGCCCACGGGGGGCCCCGGACCCCAGAGCTGCGGTTATTTTCTTCCTGCCTGAAAGCAGCTCTGCTCGGTTCTGGTTCTGAAACGGTTAAGCTCCACCTCTCTGGAGTAAACGGACACCGCGCGCGCACACACCTGACCCCGCCCACCCCGGACACCCCCACGGGAGCAGTCAACGCTCCCTCGGTGAACTTGGTTGATAGTTTGTCTCGGAGCAAGGCAGCAGGACCCGGTCCGGACCGAACTCACCGGCACGGTTCGGAAGGAACTTCAAGAACCGCGTGCGTGTAGACACGCGGGCTGATTGCTTTTTGATTGACAGGGACTCGTCATGAAGCTCCTCCTCCTCCTGCTGCTGGTGATGAAGATGATGATGAAGGTCAGTGTCCCTCAGAGTTTCGGTTCGATCCGGTTCGTTGGAGTCAGAGAAACGGATGAGAAGTTATTGATCAGCTGCAGATCAGTAGGAAAAGTTCTGATCAAACATCAGTCAGTGATCAGAACCGAACCGACAGAGTGGGACATCTGGTTTGTGTGGGACAGAGT